AAGTATCTATAGAAGAGAAACAAATCTCCAACCTTTCTTCGAGATAGAATGGATAAATCAGGTATATATAGAATAGAGTGTGGCGAATGCTCTGCAGTGTAAACAGGCCAAATCGAAAGAAATTTTGACGTAAGGCTCCGTGAACACGTCTGTTTGGAAAAAAATCTACAATGTACGAACGACTTTAAGAATCAAAACACAAGAAAAGTAAAGATAACCTCAAAATCCTACACATACGTAGTAAAGTGAAAAAATGAATTTGTTGGAAGCCATGGAAATTAAAAACCAGTAAAATATATACCCCTAAACGAGCAACTCGATCTTTATCTGGTTTTCATCAATCTTATTTCGTTTTTTGTAGTCTACTCGTAAATAAAAATTATAGTTTTTATATTTATTTGAGGTTTGGTGTGAAAGCAAAATAAAATGTTATTTTACTTCTGATCCAGTAATCATTTATTAGCTCTGCTATACAATGATTTCAAATGATTCAATTTCAAACTCATAAATTGTTTACTTTTACAAAAATTAGTTACGTAAAATCAGACTTGCTAGAATCAATACCTTTTCTATATATTTGGAAATGCTATGCTTTTGGAAAAAATGAGAAAAATGTGCCAAAATAATATTTTCTCAACTTGATGGAGAATGAAAATCATTCATTAACATAATGATGAAAATAGAGATTCTTCCATGTTATAGTTGAATGTTGACAATAGAAGAAAGGATTAAATTGTGCTACGAGTTGAATCCTTCATTTACCACAAATAACATTTTTTGTTTACGAATCGAAACGTTTATACCACTGGCTATCACTATTCTTCTATGTGCCTGTAAAAAAGATATGTTCAAAAAGAAAAATTTCACAAAACATTGTTTTTCAAAAAATGTTCACATTCGACAGGGATACGTTTCTTCTTAACGCCCAATCTTTTTTCTGATTATTAGTTACTTATATAGCTGTTTTCAATTCTTATTTCTATTGTTATTGATGAATGAATCCCCAGACAGTACAATCATCACTAGCTAAGAATTTGACTCAATGAATTATTCAAAGGTCGGACTGTTTATTGTGAGTGAATATGTTTATAGGGGCGAACCCTCATCCGGACAGATTACTGTCAATATCAGTAATAAACGGTTACCTTTCATTCCCATTCATGCACTGTGATAGCCGATGGAAATCATTATTAATTTGAAACGTCCATTGACCATCTGAAAATGTTTTGATAGATATAAAGGGTCTCAATATCAATCGGAAACTAATGGAAAACTAAAAAATGATTGCTCTTCAGTAGGAAAACCTGTATTGTAATATGTTATATCTCACATGGATCGATAAAAAAATGAATTTTTCATTCGAAAAATAAAAGTTTTGTGACATATTTGTATTATGTACTAACATTTATGTGAAGCAAATTGTTTATTTCCTATACATATTCCTTCTTATAATATTTGATATCAATATATCTCATTCATAAAACTGATTTTCACGCCTTGAAACCGAAAAGTGTAAATCAGAAAATATGTATAAAAGGATTTTCTATTAACAGAAGAACTAATTGAAGTACAGATTGTCAAATGTAAGAAGAGCTTTCTTAATTCCGTTATGGTCCCGCCTACTAGATGTGCGTTCGTTAGAAAACTATGAGAGCGAGAGAGAAAGATAGAGAATTCTCAAGTATCTTCCTAGATTTAACAAGCTGTGAGTACCTTGTTTAATTATGATACGTACTGCGACCAACTAAAGTGTTTAATAATAGTAAAGAGCTAAATTCATTACCGTAAGTATCCCAGTTTACTTGTGAAAAAAAATTTCGAGCAATTGGTCATTGTTTTATAGTGACAGAAATAAAAACACGGTTTCTTAATTGGTGGTTATTGTTTTTCCCACTTTGAAGTTACTAGGAGTAGTTCTGAATATAGAGTTAACATGGAATCCTCATATCGCAACAGTAGGTATGTTCAGAATACATAGATAGATTTATTGAAGCTTTCAATTTAAACAAATGATAAAACTCAAGTCATAAAAATGATTACATTAACAATACAAATGTCAGTTAATATTAATATAAATAAAAGCACGTGGTATAGGTAAATACAATAAGTATATGAAAATGACAGGAACAAATAAGTAAA